CATTAAAGGATCAATGAGGCAGAAGGGGGGCGGAGCCAGGATTAGGGTTAACAGTTAAGATGTGTAGCAATGGGCCCGTGTCTCCTCCCCCAATTATAGAGGACGGGTGCCCTTTAAGGACCCGCACCGCCCCCTCCGGCACTCACCTCGAAGGAGATCTCATCGAAGTAGAGCCTGTTGCACATGTCGTAGTCGGTGCTGACCGTCTCCGGGTTATAATTCACCATTATCGTCTTGTAGCCCATCTGACAAAATAGAATTAAAGTGAAAACCGGAGACCAGAAATGTAAATTATCATCAGTTACACCGCCCTTCCATCCGCCATTACCCTCCCCTGTTGATCCTGCCAGTAACACACTTCCTGTCCTAGGGTGACAACGCTCACTCGCTGTATATGTATGGAGGAGCAGTTTTGTCACCCTACAAATGTGATGTGTCAGGACTACAGAACACCTCCCCCTCTTCGCTGGGAATGCAAATGACAGCCGACAAGATTTCTGGCGGAATCAACGGGTATTTCTTGCACTTCTCGAACAGCTCTAACGAATCGCCTTTGATGGGATATTTAAGAGACCAAAAGGGAGCCAATAAGAGATGTTCATTATTACTGCCGAGTCAGCTGACCGATATCACCTCCCTCAAGCCAAAACTTCTCACTTGGTCCTCACCAGAGAAAGGCTGGAGGGTATGCTCGCACTCTGCTCCGCCCAGAGGAGCATTCTTCCAGTCGCCCCGCCCCAGAGAAGCCTTCCTCCAGTCGCCCCAGACAAGCCTTCCTCCAGTCGCCCCAGACAAGCCTTCCTCCAGTCGCCCCAGACAAGCCTTCCTCCAGTCGCCCCAGACAAGCCTTCTTCCAGTCGCCCCAGACAAGCCTTCTTCCAGTCGCCCCAGACAAGCCTTCTTCCAGTCGCCCCAGACAAGCCTTCCTCCAGTCGCCCCAGACAAGCCTTCCTCCAGTCGCCCCAGACAAGCCTTCCTCCAGTCGCCCCAGACAAGCCTTCCTCCAGTCGCCCCAGACAAGCCTTCCTCCAGTCGCCCCAGACAAGCCTTCCTCCAGTCGCCCCAGACAAGCCTTCCTCCAGTCGCCCCAGACAAGCCTTCTTCCAGTCGCCCCAGACAAGCCTTCTTCCAGTCGCCCCAGACAAGCCTTCTTCCAGTCGCCCCAGACAAGCCTTCCTCCAGTCGCCCCAGACAAGCCTTCTTCCAGTCGCCCCAGACAAGCCTTCTTCCAGTCGCCCCAGACAAGCCTTCTTCCAGTCGCCCCGCCCCAGAGAAGCCTTCCTCCAGTCGCCCCGCCCCAGAGAAGCCTTCCTCCAGTCGCCCCGCCCCATAGGAGCCTTCCTCCAGTCGTCCGGCCCCAGGAGCATTCTTCCAGTCGCCTCTTCCAACTGCAGCACCTCACCTTACGAAGTTCCTGGATACAGCCCACCGCGCACCAGTCAAACTCCACACTGCTGCCGATGCGGTAGACGCCGGAGCCGATCACCATGACGTGCGGCTCCTCGAATTGCAGGTCGTGCTCAGTACCGTTGTAGGTCAGGTACAGGTAATTGGTCTGCGCCGGCCACTCCGCGGCCACCGTGTCAATCTGCTTCACTACCGGCAGGATCTGCCATTCCTGACGCAGCTTTGTGACCGCGAGAT